TTAACAACAACAACAACAACACACCCCACCGCCCGCCAGCTCAACGTCAAGACGCACGCGGATGGGCTTGCCGGCGTCAACCTCGGCTCGCTCGCGAGGGGAACGAAGGCAGGGGAGATGATTGAGGACGCTTACCGCCGCCGCAAATCGAAGACCGTGAGAGACGCGGGCGGGTGGGTGGGTGACGCGGGGTCAAGGCGCGGGGTCAAGGCGCGGCAGGGTGTGACGTCACGAATAAGACCACACCCACTTTCTACTAGCCCCGCCTATCTTCTCCCGACTGACCCCGCCCACTGTTACTTAGGCCACGCCCTCTTTGTTTACGCCACGCCCCTCTCACGCGATTGCAGCCGCCCCCCCCCCCTGGAATCCCCCCCCCACCGATGCTAATTAGCATAAATTATTCAAGCCACGCCTCCCGCGTTCTCCACCCAGGTGAAGCACGTGAACACGTGGACTGACTGGGTCGGACCTGTGCTCTGATGTGGAAGCTCAAACATTATAATCGCTCGCGTCCTCGCGCAGAATCTAAATACAAGATAAGGAGACGATATGTAGTCACCTTCATGTATGTCTGTCTGTCTCCACGTCCTCAATGTTTTTGTTATTTGATGGCTACTTGTGTTGAAGCAATGCTGCTGAAATGCATCCGCAGGCCGTTGGCGACACATCGGTTGTGTTCAAAGTTGCTTTGTGGTGTTTTTTTGATGCGGAGAGACGGGGATATATGAATAAGACATTGCTCTTCTTGGTTCTTTCGGTAAAGTCACGTAGAATGGAAATAATAAAATAATAAAAATAAAACAACATAATTCCCACGACGTTTCGGCCACAACGCAAGCAGCCGTCCTCAGGTGGAGAACAGGTCTGTCGAGGAGACAGTCATTGCTCATTCACGCTCCGATGTTGGGCACGTAATGAATACTACGTGATCGATTTTATTTTTAATTCGGAAATGCAATTCATGTTTTACTCATGACAACGATTCACAACAACGCTTCAGGAGTTTGTCCACAATCCAATAATAACAAACAAGCAAGGGTGGCACAGTCGGGTTTTTTACAATCGGGTTTAAGTGTCTTTTTATATTAAACCCGATCATCTGAGATTGGGAGAAATCCGGTTTAATTGGTTCTAATTGCGGCATCCGAGCGGAACTTCTCAACGACGGGCTTCATCTATTCCAAGCGAAGGAACTCACTGGCGCCCACGATTGTGGAGGAGAAGCTCCTCGTGTTCATCAAGACCAACCTGCCCGCCGCATTCTACGACTACCCCGTGCCCGACGGCCCCCCGAGTACGATAGCAGCACCGACGAGGAAGCAGCCTAAGCCTTGGGTCAGAGTTTCGTATTCATTAAGCCAGGTTTTAATTCCCCGATATCGGGTTTAATTGTATTAAAGAAAAAACCCGATGCCTGCCGCTGGAAAAAATCGTGGTTTTTTTCACCCATGGGCCACAGAGGTAGAGTCGCTCCATAATAAAGTTATTTTTGGGGGTTAGATCGCGTAAATATAAATGTGTCGTTAACCCACCACCACGAGACATAGCCAATTAGTCAGGGTTCTCACGTAAACAAAACGTGGCAATGACTTGCTATTTAAGCACACCGGTATGTTGGGAGTTGCTCATTTACTGCGCCCTCTGTAAGCAGTGGGTGTTGAATGCGCTGTTTGTTTTTCGATTGTGTGCCTGTGCGCCGCTGCCAACGCATTGTCGCCAATGTAATGTGTTTACAATATACTGTAGCTTTTTAGCAATTGAACAAAAAGCTGCAGTGCTCTCACCAATAGCATCTGGTGACCCAGAAACATTCAACAAACTTTACCGCTGATGATACCCAGAAGGTCAATGCCGCCCCCGAGTTTGCTTTAACACATTCTGCTGGATACTACGAACTTTACTCTCTGCAGCCAGGGTGCTAAGGAAATTGCTGCGGCCTGTTGTGGATGGATAAGAGAGGTCACCTGAGCTTTCCGAAGTAATTCTGTGATATACCTTTCCGTGGACCATTCTTTTTTCACGGAGTGAATGCACAGAGCAGTGTTCTGCGAGTTGCAAGTGGATTCTTCATCTCGTGGCGTATAATGGGGGCATTTTGTGCAGAAATCGGTCGCTGCCGCTCTGCCTCTTTACTGGAATATACTAAACTTAGTAAGATTTTTTTTTTTAGCAGGTAAGGCCCACTGAGCAGAGGTCGCAATCGGGTACCCGATACCCGTACCCTACCCGATACCCGGCTACCCGTATCCGGCCGGGTACGAGTATCCGTTTGCGACCCTGGTGCGGCCGGGTACGGGTAGACCGTGAGTCACTGGTGAGTCACCGTTTGTCACTCATTTCCCAACGTCTTGTCTCTTCTCGCAATTCAAGTTCCTAGAATCAACCCACCCGCGCCTGCAACATGGCTTCATCCCAGAGGTCGCAATCGGGTACCCGTACCCTACCGGATACCCGGCCGGGTGCGGGTAGCCGAGTATTGGGTAGGGTACAGGTACCTGATTGCGACCCTGGTGCGGCCGGGTACGGATACGGGTAAGGAATCAAAACCCGTTTGCGACCTCTGCCACTGAGCGATATAGTTATTTTTCAGAATACCACCTCGCCACAAATGATAGCTCAACGAAGTGGCTTATCATGTGGGAATGTATAGCAGCCAACTACTCTCAAGCACATTTCTAAATGTTGAAGGAAAAACCGGAGGACCCGGAGAAAAATCTACGCGACCACGGAGAGAACGTGCAAACTCAAAATATGCAGGCGTCAGGGTCGGGATCAAACCCAAGGTTTCATGCACACCAGGCAAGGTGGTTAACATCTCACCACTGCGGCACCCAAACATAAATTTGAGCCCTGATTTTGATAAAAGATGTATCCTCAAATATGGCCATATTCACGCTGATCAGTGGGTGAATGAAGATGCTTGCATGCCAGGCGAATAATGTGCTTTGATCACACTTTTTTTTATCATGTTTTTCCTTTAGGCCAGTAGAATGAAAGAGATATTAGATGAGTGTCAAGAAAGTACAGTACAGAGAGTACAAATGAATGACTCCAAACAAGACAATGATACCATGCAGATGGGAGCACAGAATACGTGACCAGTCCAAATGAGACAGAACGAGACGGTACAGATGAAAGAATAGACAAAAGGGTATCAAATGAGGCCAGTACAAACAAGACAGCACACAATATAAAGACAGTACGAAAATATAGAATCAACAAGACAGCACTTGAAAAGATTTACAGTACACATGAGACGGTACAAAAGGATATACGGTACAAATGACATCAGAACTGTATAAACAAGGAAGTATGAGACAGACTGTATAAATGACACATTCAAATGAGGTGGACCGTACAAAACATACAGACGAGACAAACTGCGATATTATGAATGGGGCAGTATGTATGTAATTTGAACTTTCGCACCGTACGTAGCCAACCGTGCTAAACGGAGGCGAGGGTTATATAGTACAAATTATAAAGGTCGTTCAAATAAAACTACCAGCGAAGACGGTATACATTTTACGAGAAATGAGAATAGGGTTTTTCCCCTTTTTTCTGGCAACGAAACAGGTGTGAAGATATTATTGGTTCTTTCGGTAAAGTCACGTAGAAGGGAAATAAAACAATTTGTTTAATATTTTTATTATTTTATTATTTCCCTTCGACGTGACTTTACCGAAAGAACCAAGAATATGAATCCCTGCAGTCACGAAAGCTTTAAATCAAAATTTTGGTGTTAAGATGAAACTGATTTGTTCGCACCGTTTGTCTCTAGTGTGGACCAATCAGTTTCAAAGACAATGCATATATTATCAGAGTATGTTTTTTTTGCATTCTGACCACAAGTATTGTGGTTAATGCAGACATGATTTCTTGTACAAGGTTTCAGTTTGGTGTTTTAACATCTTAACACAGCTGTTTTGTTGCCAGAAATAAGGGGAAAACCTATTCTATATTGGTGCTGGAAAAGGAGGTCCCATGGTATTTTGAGAAATACAGTGCAGACAAGACCGTAAAAGCAAGAAATAAAATTGGTTCTGCAATCGAATAGTGACCCCCCCCCCCAAGTCGCTACATGCCTCATAGATGCCCAAATGTTTAAGCAAGTTAGCAGTGACCTTTGAGCAGTATTGATCCACGTCCTTTGTTTAACTAAGTAAGAATCCTTTAAACCTGAGAGCAGCCACCCACCGCGATTGAGAGTTTTTATTACCCCTAACAATGAAGAGGGTGGATTTAACAAAAAGATCCAACATATTCAATTACATGACTTCTTGAACAAGAGTCTCGAGACTGGGTTTCTCATATGCATAGCGTAGAGGACGTTGCTTTTACATTATGGGTGCCTTTGGCTGTATAAGTTTAGGCCATGCCACAGCTGGCACATATGAAATATTGAAAATTGTGCCTCTTGATGTGAACTGCTAACTTGGCACAGGGTGGAGTGCAGGAGGTACATCTGCCACTCATCCATGTCAGTTAATACTGGTAGGAACCTCCTGGTTACACTAGTCCCACAGGGGAGTATTGTGTACGTCCGTCCGTCGTGCAGGGAGGGGCTGGGTGGGGAGGGGCTGGGTGGGGAGGGTAGGGAGGGGCTGGGTGGGGAGGGGGAGGGGTAGGGCTGGGTGGGGAGGGGCTGGTCACCCCTTGGTGCCCTTATAAAGCTCAATGATTAACCTACTCACGCCGGCTTGTGCTCGCCCTCACAGTCGGGCATATTTGTGGAATACACCACGCCGCCGTTGACCCTGGCCATTGACCGAGCAACCCAACGTTCCTACCAGCTCCCTCCGTAGGAATGTGTTCCATAACATCTGGGCCTGTCCTGTGATCTGTTTCCAATGGATCTTTACCACTGAACGTGGCCTTATAGTAAATTTTACCTGGTACAAGCACCGTGGTGATATCACCAGCACATAGTGGAAAATGCCCTCTGTTGTTGTAAGTAATATGCACAAAAAATTGCATCACTCAAAAATACGTTTGTTGCAAAATCATTTTTATATTCATCCAACGTAGACACACAGATAAGAAACAAGCTCACGTCACCCATAGCAGCATTATATAATAATTTATTCTTAAACATATCCTAAACTTTAGGTTTTAAAAAAATGGCTACATTATTTAGATAAAATTAAATACAGTCCATTTAGAGGTGAGAAGAGGTTACTTTACCACTCCTGCCCTCAGACTGTAGGTCAAATTATTTCTGCAATGCACAGCATCACACTTGGGAAGGCTTCCAATCTAAGTGGTAGGCTTCCATTTTTTTACTCTTTCTACATAAATTCGGTACGTAGATAAAAGAGTAAAAACTGTAAATTGTCCGCCTGTCGCTTAAATGGGTAGAATTTCCAAATATGCCATGTGCTCTGCACTCAAACGATAGCTTTAGACCGTACATTTTGGTGCCTTTTCTGGCTTGGGGGTGGGGGGGTCACACGCTCACAGGAGCCGACAACCGCTCTTCTTCTTGCGCTTGCGGACTTGCAGCGCAGCCCTGGCGGCCATCTCAAAGACCTCACGCACGCCATCCTTGGTCTTGGCCGAGCACTCCATGTAGCCGAAGGCATTTATCTGGTTGGCCATGTCTCTGCCTTCCTCCACCCTCACCGGCTCCTGCACACGGTGCACACCAGCAGATATTGCGGCTAGAAAGTCATAAACACGCGCGCGCGCGACTGTTATCCTGAGCTTTGGAAGCAGGCTTGGTGGATCACGCAGATTATCATCATGTGCTTGAGACCCCCCATCCTTGCGTCAGTAAAGCATCGGGTGCTTTCAGGTGTGCTTCTGCAGCCGTCTGGAATGCTCTTCTGATATTAGGAAGCCACTGGAGGTATGCACTTTTAAATCTAGATTGAATACGCATTTATTTAAAACTACTTTTTGTCTCTAGTTTGTTGCCCATTCCCACAACTCCGATTAGCGAGTTTGACTATGTACGGTGCAAAAGAAGTGCAACATACATACAAAGCAAGTAGAATGCCATTGTACCCACAGATTATTTGAGTGAATGTGCGAATGGTAGTTGAAATAAGGGTACTCTTGACAACAAACTAGGGTACAGTGGCCTCGTATCGCATGATGCCCATGACATAGACCCCAACAGCTTAGTTGGGCCATCAAGCTGAAACTATATTATTTACAACATGCACATTGTGGAGGAATATTGTCTACTTTTTATGATGCAAAATAACATTTGTTTCATTTAACAAGTGAGAAATTCCATTACAGCAAGATTGTCGTCCCCATCGGCCTGAACATGCCCATCATGTAAAATGCTAATCGGCATGTGTATCTGTCGACTAGTGTGCATGGAGTGTGTTGGATTGTACGTCGGGCTGCGTACATGAGTGTCGCCCATATTTTACCTCGATCCCCAATCCCTCCACTTCACCTCTTTGTGATTACTGCATTTAAGTTCATTGTGATGATGGGGAATTTCAGCCTGATGATGGCAACGATTAGTAAGTGCGTTCGGTATTCGCGCAATTCTTATATAACTAAGGCTGCCATGAAGGCACCAAATCTCCTAGCTGAAGTCAAAAGCGGAATATTTATTCATACTGGAGGAATCCAATGAGCCATAAACCTCTTTATCACAGAAGTCCAGTATAAGTCAATAAGTCTCACTTGTTATGGGTTCATCCCATCTTGTTTCATGTGATTCTTTAATTTTAATGGTTCAAGTGCATGTTTTACACACTTTACTAACATTTACTAAAAACAGACAAATCTGAATGCAGGGTCCGAATGAAAAAAAATAGTTTTTAGACTCAATTAGACTTTCCTGGATAAAGTGACATGGCATGTTGTGCAAAGGTTAGTTCTCTGTATGGCGAGAGCCTGCTGTAATGTTATCAGCAATTATAATGAAAATAAGCTGGCTTGAAATTTCCATCAATCACTTATGTGGCTATTAGCTCTGAGGAAGGCCTTGTGTTTTCATTCGTGTTTGAGTCACTCTGAAATGTGGCTCTGATAGCTCGGCTTTGGGCTCAAAGTCAAGATAAAATTATCGTCGGCGTTAACTCGAACCATCATCAACATCACCGTCAGCCACAGTCGAGCCTCCCAAAGCCGTTGCCATCCATCTTGGCCACACGATGCAACAATCCATCGAGCCCCTGCACACGAGCTGATCTCATCCTCTCCATCTCCTCGGCCGATGTTCTCTCAGGCACGTGCTGCCACTCCATCATGATCGTCGTCATCACTGGGGGTGCCAACGATGCCTCGGCTGTCATAGGAATGCGTAACCTCCACCGCAAGCCAACAACCACTGGGACGGATGAACACCACCCGCAGCAACGGCAGAGTACAGATCTAGAACGACTTCCAGTGAGGCCATCATCCCCGTCACCTGCTTTATCTTGGCGAGCTCGCGCTTCGCGTTGTCGTCGTTGCGGAGGTCCTTCTTGTTGCCGACGAGGACGATGGGCACGTTGGGACAGAAATGCCTCACCTCTGCAGTCCACCTGTCGGTGATGTTACCTGAATGCAAATCAAGGTGTGGTTAATTAAGAAAAAAAAATTTATGGTGGGGGGCCAGGGTGGGAGTGATGCTGCCGTTAGCAGCGTGGACTCTGAGGTTGCCGATTCACTCTCCCCTGCGCGTGACACGATTTCCACGCCGCCTCTCCCCGCCGTCACCTCTATCTACCCAACAGTATGAATGGATGCACCACAGTTAGCAGGGCGCGTGGGGTGGAGTATAGTGTGTGTGGTTAGCCCTACGATGTCAGGTCTGTGTGGAAGAGTAGGCCAAAACACCTTTGAAAGTTTGTGGCACAAACTTTTGTGACAAAATCTTTCATCGGTGCAAACGATGCAGCGAGACCCCCCCCCCCACCCTCATGTGGCATTTATGCGATCTGACATCTGTCCACTCTGTGAAGCGACGGGGCCCTCCTGTAAAGTCGCAGCGGGGGGGCGGGGGGGGGGCACGCAACACGCCGCCAGAGTTACACGCCGTGCTGTGTACTTTCCATATTGGCTGCTGAGAAAAGGAAGTGGGGGCTGGTGCCAGGACATGTTGCAAGATCGTCAAGGTCATCTGTGGATAACAGTACAGTATTGTGCGTTTTTTTCTGCTATTGTGTAATTGGAAAAATAATGTTTTTTTCAATCAAATAAGTAATCTAATTTCACCATCTGTAAATGCCCATGGGCACAATACAAGCACTGGATTCACTTCACTTAATTTACATAAATTCATGATAGTAAATTCAATAAGCTGTAACTGTGTATTGATATTACCGCATAAACTCCGAAATGAAGTTGAATTAAAGCTGAAGCAATTTAACTGAAGGGATACCATTAAACAGTTTACAATTATTACAGACTCGTGTAATGTTTGTATATATGTTGAACTTCTTTCGCACCGTACACAGCCAACCGTGCTAAGCAGAGGTGCGGGGGAAGGACAACAAACTAAACACAACAATCAGTTCTAAAGAAATGCGATTTCAATCTAGATTTAAAAGTGCATCGCTCCAGGAAGGACTGTTATTCATAAATAACAAGGTACAAAGTTGCGTTTGCGAACAGCTGGAAGGCATGACTCCCATCATAACCTATATGCATGTCATGTGACCACAACATTGTATGTTCACTACAATGCTGTCAGCCTTGCCTCAACCACCAGCTCAAGGGAAGTGAATGCGTGGCTGTATTATTGTTTAGACGATCAAATCATAAAGAGTTAAAAATGGGGTCATCCCATGAGACAAGGCTGAGAGCATTTCATATGCAGTGTGGTATGACATGCAAGACATGGTGGCAGTCGTGTCTTCCTTCTGTGTGTTATTCTTTCTCTTTGTTTCCAGCCTGAACGCATGTAACCGTTGCGATTTTAGTCTTTCCTCATAATTTTGCAGCGAATGTTGTATTTGAAGCCCTGTTATTTATCACATTGCGTGGCTTTGCCAAGGGCTTGAGGCGGTCATACCCAGGCTGTCAGGACTGTCGATGGAGAAGCACATGAGGATGACATCGGTGTCCGGGTAGGAGAGCGGTCGCAGGCGGTTGTAGTCCTCCTGTCCGGCCGTGTCCCACAGCGCCAGCTCCACCTGCTCACAGGTAGCCGATAAGCCAACGAAGCGCGCAACCTCTTATACAGAAAGAGGAACAACGCGGATTAGAGCACGTACACAGTTAGGGACATCACATCGACGGCTAGGACAAGTAAGCGGGGGCCTTGGGCAGGGCACGTCGTGGCTCGAAGCAGTGATGGGCCGGCGGTGGAGACAAGCGACAGTGGCCGGCCGAGAGGAGAGAATGCGTCTGTGAGGTCCACCACCACGGAAATGGAATGACGAAGTGAGCTAGTGCTGGTGTTCGAGGGAGTGTTGCAATGTGGAACCGTAAGGGATGGTGACGGTACTTGATACAGCAAATCTGGCTGTGACGGTCCCACCTGATGACGGAGACTTGTGTTGCCTCCGAAACGTCGTGATTTTTATTATTGTATTTTTATTAATTTTAATTTCATTTTTACCTACGTGACTTTACCGAAAAAACTAAGAGTATGGATCCTTGCAGTCACGAAAGCTTCAAATCTAGAATGGATGGTGACGGCTGGGAGAGGCCTTCATCCAGCAGTCCACCGATCATAGCTGATGATGTTAAAGTGCCTTCACTCATGGCACTGCATCAGAGTACTTCAAAGTGCCTTCATTAATTTATTTTCATGTATCTATCCCCAAAAGCCTCACCGAGTCGCAAGATACATGGTGATCCTTGGTCAATTCTATTGTAGGAGTGTTTCGCATGTGGGCGTAAACCAGAGTACCTGGCAGAAGGTTCACAAGTCTACAAACGATACATACTGTACACTATGAGCCTCCAAAGTGCAGGCATACAAGGGTGTGCCAATAGACCCGGCTTTAATAGCGTTACGTTCATCAGCACAGCATCCTTAGTTATATTTTGACTTAAAACTTTCGTGACTGCAGGAATTCATATTCTTTGGTTCTTTCGGTAAAGACACGTAGATTAGAAAAAAAAAATTAAGTGAATACAAATATCACGATGTTTCGATCGCAACACAAGCGGTTGTCATCAGGAAAAGGGGTTAGCCTCTAAAGGAAAACTGTTGATAAAGGTTTGGAGATGGGCGTAGCCCAAGTGTATCAGCAGTACCAGCAGCATGGGCGGTGCAGCAATGCCAATGCAGCAGCAATGCCAATGCAGCAGCAATGCCAATGCAGCAGCAATGTCAATGCAGCAGCAATGCCAATGCAGCAACAATGTTAATGCAGCAGCAATGCCAATGCAGCAGCAATGCCAATGCAGCAGCAATGCCAATGCAGCAGCAATGCCAATGCAGCAGCAATGGCAATCCAGCAACAATGTTAATGCAGCAGCAATGTCAATGCAGCAACAATGTCAATGCAGCGGCAATGCCAATGCAGCAGCAATGCCAATGCAGCAGCAATGTCAATGCAGCGGCAATGCCAATGCAGCAGCAATGCCAATGCAGCAGCAATGCCAATGCAGCAGCAATGCCAATGCAGCAGCAATGGCAATCCAGCAACAATGTCCAATGCAGCAGGCAATGCAATGCAGCACAATGTCCAATGCAGCAGCAATGCCAATGCAGCAACAATGCCAATGCAGCAGCAATGTCCAATGCCAGCAATGCAGCAATGCCAATGCAGCAACAATGTCAATGCAGCGGCAATGCCAATGCAGCAACAATGCCAATGCAGCAGCAATGCCAATGCAGCAACAATGCCAATGCAGCAGCAATGCCAATGCAGCAACAATGCCAATGCAGCAGCAATGCCAATGCAGCAACAATGTCAATGCAGCGGCAATGCCAATGCAGCAACAATGCCAATGCAGCAGCAATGCCAATGCAGCAACAATGCCAATGCAGCAACAATGCCAATGCAGCAGCAATGCCAATGCAGCAGCAATGCCAATGCAGCAGCAATGCCAATGCAGCAACAATGCCAATGCAGCGGCAATGCCAATGCAGCGGCAATGGCAATGCAGCAACAATGGCAATGCAGCAGCAATGTCAATGCAGCAGCAATGCCAATGCAGCAACAATGCCAATGCAGCGGCAATGCCAATGCAGCAGCAATGCCAATGCAGCGGCAATGCCAATGCAGCGGCAATGCCAATGCAGCGGCAATGCTAATGCAGCGGCAATGCCAATGCAGCAACAATGCCAATGCAGCAGCAATGCCAATGCAGCAGCAATGCCAATGCAGCAGCAATGCCAATGCAGCAGCAATGCCAATGCAGCAGCAATGCCAATGCAGCGACAATGCCAATGCAGCGGCAATGCTAATGCAGCGGCAATGCCAATGCAGCGGCAATGCTAATGCAGCAACAATGCCAATGCAGCAGCAATGCCAATGCAGCAGCAATGCCAATGCAGCAACAATGCCAATGCAGCAACAATGCCAATGCAGCGGCAATGCTAATGCAGCGGCAATGCCAATGCAGCGGCAATGCCAATGCAGCGGCAATGCCAATGCAGCGGCAATGCTAATGCAGCAAAGGGCCGCTAGGAAATCCCTGCACCCCAGCTCCACACACCACACTGCTGACGGTGAAGGTTGATTGACAAGAAAACACAAGTCAAGTCATGACCCAAAGTGGTTGATGACATCTTTCCATGATTGCTGAGACTATAACCTTCCTCTCGTTTGAAATTGTGTCTGTATATATGGATGGCTTCATGAATGAATCTTTGTTAATAGTCAGTAGGCTTGCAAAGTACCATCGTCTTAGAGAAATCAATTTCGTGTGAGCCAGCCGCATTAAAATAATGATCAGCCACGGCAGAAGTATTGGTCCTACCGTGTTTTAAATCTGCATTATGTTCACGAACACGGTCCGAGACATGTCGCTTAGTTTCGCCAATGTAACTGCTGCTGCAGATACAGCTCAGTTTGTAGACGCCGGGATATTGCATGTCAGATGGGATCCGATCACGAAATTCATGTACTGTGTTAAATCGGACCTGAATCTTGTGTTTGTTCAAGATTATGGAAATATTTTTGATTACCCCTACTATGTATGGCAGGGTGATGGTTTTTATTGTATCCTCAGATGGCTTCTTCCTCACGGTTGGGGTGATGGCTTTGTGGATTGTGTAGTCAGAATATCCATTCGCCTTGAGAGCTTGGTGTACGTGTTTGAGTTTGCGGCATTGGCAATTCTACCACGCCCATGCTGCTGGTGCTGCTGATACACTTGGGCTACGCCCATCTCCAAACCTTTATAAACAGTTTGCCTTTAGAGGCTAACCCCTTTTCCTGATGACGACCGCTTGTGTTGCGATCGAAAGAACCAAAGAATACTTAGTTATATTGCAGTGATGCAAAGTAATAGCCGATTATTTTATATTTTCTTCTTCAATTTGAGCAATATTGTGCTCTTGGCATTGTCACGAGTTGAATCTATTCGGGTTTATCATTGAGCAATTCATCACTCGGTGTGAGAAAACATTCTGTGGAAGCAGATAATACAGAACGACTTGTGAGGTCTCTTTCAGTGGCCTCTTCTGCACATTAAGGGACAGCACCTTCCCTGCTAGAGCATAACGTTCGAAAGTCAGACTGATATGTTTAATTCTCAAGAGCTGGAATGTATAAAAACCAGATCTAATGATTTAATGTCATGATTTTTTTTCTTGGTGCAGTCGTTGGCAACCGGACTGACACCATCAACTTGAGAACCTGGTTTATTCACATTCAGCTGCCTGGATTTGAACCCATGGCTTTCAGCAGTTGCCAAGCTCAGCGTCCTTACCACAAGGTTTACCCAATGGGTGTCACTCTCCAGCATTAATATATCAAACTGTTTTTGTAAGGGCCCTTTTATCACTTACACATTACTCAGGTGACCGCCCTCCCCCCCCCCCCCCAAAAGATCAAAGAGACATAATTCAAAAATATTACCACGGAAATGGTGACCAAACAATGCAATGCATCATCAACTGTTGCCCCAAGCGACGCTTCATCGGAAACCTTGAGTGTATCAGCGAAATGACACACGAAACCAGTATGCAGCTTACGAAACCTCGATATTCAAGTTTAACATTTCACACAGAATCTAGCCATAGGCCAGAAGAATAAGACGACCCGTATAACTCATAGAGGCAGCATTTGGCAGCAGATGGTCCGCTTCCGTGGGGACTTCGCCAACATTGGTGGACAACTTAGAGCCCAGTAGCTAATCCCACACGGGGAGGGCTTTTATTCCAAGTCAGAAACGTTATCAAATGGATATTACATATTCTGCACAGTATAGTGAATAGTGAATACCTCATGGGCTTTGTCGACATTATCTTTACAAACCCGACACTTACACTCCCCCCTACCCAAATGTGCAATATTGTTAGTATTTATAAACGAAACGATTTTTAACTAAACGTTTTATTTAATTATACCAGGTAAGGCCCACTGAGCTAATATTGCTCTGTTTCAGAAGCGACCTGGCCACAAACGATAGCCCAACGAAGTGGCTTATCACGCGGCAATTTATAGCAGCAAAATACGTACTAAAATTATAGTTCTGGGTGTTCGTGAGTACAAAGACAGGCGGGGGAGGGTTTGGCTCTTACCTGCTTGCCATCCACCTCCATATCGGCCACGTAGTTTTCAAACACGGTTGGCACGTACACTTCGGGGAACTGATCTTTGCTGAAGACGATGAGAAGGCAGGTCTTTCCGCAGGCTCCATCCCCGACAATCACCAGCTTTTTTCTCAACGTCGTCGCCTGCCGAGGCGATAGATATCACGTTTTGATAAATTCTTTTGTTCGTGGAGTGTAACCGTACTGCGGTGTAGACATGTAATTTAAGACTCGCGGTTTTTATTTCCCCCCCCTCTCCGTTGTAAGCCGTCACACGGCTGCCCGCATCACGCCAGCATTTATTTTACATTTCCTACTTTACGCAGCCTCATTTTATCCGCGCACTTTAATCCCTCTACAAAGTACTACTTCGTCCTGACTTTTTTCCTGAAGTACAATTTTTAAGAGCAGCACCTTGGGCTAAGTGCGATGCCAGCGTCCACCACGAAACCCAAAGGGAAAACCAATCTTCGCCGTTACGAACGTTCACACTTTACCATGTCTGACGTTTTCCCTTTTCGTATTCTTCTCTCTTCGCCCTTTTGTAAGATGACGCAGATTTGTTTTTTTTTAACGTAAAATAACTCAATGGCTGGACGCCGTAGCAACGTAAAAACACTAAAGCAAGCTGCTCAGCTCCCTGTCCGTACGGCTTCGTGTCCTCGTTCTGATGCCCTCTGTAGGAACGATTGGCAAACCTTGCGCGGCACAAGCACCACTATTATTTGCCTTGCCCCCCTCTTCCCTGTCTAAAGTCCCCAACAGCAGCGCAATCAAACGACAGCAAAGCCAAGGCCGAAACGAGTTGTTTGACCAGTGCGCTCATGCATAGATACAACGTAGATACCCGAGCCTTGAGCCACTTGTGTTCACCAAACACTACCCAACCCACCCACCCCCTTCTTCATCCGACCTCTTCAGTCTACACCCTTCCTGAGTCATTTGCTGCAGTGTGTGTGTGCATACTGTCATGACTCGGGCGCGTGTTGGTGCAGCGGTGTCTTATTCCTGTAACGACACAACACAGCTAAAAATGCTGGTTCATTGGCTGCCAGCTGTTCTCGAGTTTTTTGAACGTGGAGCTGATTGGGGAGGTGGAGGTTTATGGCGATTATGGGCATGGGGGCTGGAACGTGGTGAGCACAAGATCGCAAACATGAATCCCAAACGCATGTACTCGGTATGGGATTTAGCAATGCAGCATTGGCAATGGCTCACACTGCTGAAGTTGTTGTGGATGCGGTGATTGAGGGATCAGTGAAGATGGATTCTGCAAGCCGATGAGAATAATGCGTTGACTCTGATGTGTGACAATGCGGTTTTTTTTCAGGGTTTGTGAATGGTGTGACTGTACAGGAGTGAACCGAATGTCTTGTGACCCCCCCACCCCCCCCCATGAAATTCTCCAAAAGTTATATTTTTTAAGTAAGGTGTATTTATTAAATGAATATGTAAAGTAAAACAATGTTAGGGGTAAATCAATTTTGCTCATTCACGAGCAACGCGAAGAGAAATTTATACAAACCGTGAGTGGCGCTTAGTCCCCAAATCGCGATGGGCATTTTTGAATGCACCGAGCAGGTGAACGTTGTAGAGTTCTCCTAATTCATAATCAACGTTTTTTGGTGAGATCGCGTTATTTATGAATGTGTCGTAACCCTCCACCACCCGACACGGCCAATCAGTAAAAAAGTATCACGTTAACAAAAGACAAATAGTTCATTGCTTTAGCCCATTGGTGTGTTGAAGCGTGAAACCACAACATTTACAATTTGAGTACGACGTTTCGCTGGTAATTGCATCCAGCAACAGATAAAACGTATCTGTTGCTCTCTCTCTGTATCTCTCTTATGGTTGTTGTTGTTGTTTGACTTGCATCCCACTGGGATTTTTGCACACAGCGTTGGTGTACGGTGTTTTTTTCTGCAATATTTTGCTGTCTTTTCTTGGATTTTCTGTTTGCAAAAGTCACATATTCACTTTAAGATGTTTTTTGTTCATGTTTTTTGTTTGTTGCGGTTGCACCCGATTCAAGAGCCGAATGGCTCACAGGGCTATACCTAATAAATGAACTTGAACTTGAACTCTATCTTGAGTGAAGTAGTGAAGTAATTGGTTGGGTACGTTACATCATGGTGCGCAATGTTGTGAAAAGTGAACGGCCAACTATCTAGATTTGAAGTTTTCGTGACTTCCGGGATCCACACTCTTTGGTTCTATCGGTAAAGTCACGTAGGTGGAAAATAAAATAAATTAAATCACGACGTTTCGATTGCAACACAAGCAATCATCATAATTTTTTTTGCTGTGGTTTTCCAACACAATGATGATTGCTTGTGTTGCAATCAAAACGTGGTGATTTAATTTATTTTATACCTACGTGACTTTACCGAAAGAACCAAAGAGTATGAACGGTAAACGTTTGACAATAAACGACGTTCATTTAGACCATTTATTATATTTTTTTGAATGCCATATTTTACAACAACAGCTCAATTTAGTTTGTTGCTCCAAAGACCAACTACTGCCCTCCCCCTCAAAATGTATTTGTTTACAGCTATTAACCAGTTGCATACAATGTTATTTTTTATTTTAGCTGCAGTGCTAAGAGTGAAGTTGGCCGCTAGAGGCCTCTACGTCCCGTCGTCCCTTGCACGGAGATCGACCCTCGTGACCCGGCACAAACTTAAACCAAATCTTGACTTAAATCTTTCGTGACTGCAGGAATTCATATTCTTCGTGGAAGGAAAAGCCCGGTGGGATCTGGAGAAAAACCCATCTACGTGACTTTACCGAAAGACCCAAAGAATATAAACTAAACGAACGAAACGTTTCATTTTATCAGGTAATGCTCACTGAGCGACGTGGCTCTTTGTTTTGAGAAGCGACCTGGCGATCACAAGTAAGTGGCTTTTCATCACGTGGAAATGTATAGCAACCAAATTACTGTAAAACACATGTCGAGTCTAAATGTGGAGGGAAAAGCCCCGAGAGACCTGGAGAAAAATCTACGCGACCACGGGGGGAGGAGGGAGACAGAGACACGCCAACTCCAAATGTACAACAGGCGTCAGGGTCTGGATCGAACCCATACCAGGCGAGGTAGTCAACATCTCATAGCCACCGCGGCGCCCGGGGGACAAAGCGAAGGGTCAGACTGCTGCTCTCACCGAGACACAGAGACGCGGGGGTGAGAGACGCGGGCACGGAGAGACGAAGGCAGGGCTCGGAGCTCGGGCTAAACGATTTTGGGAAAAATATCTAATTGCGATTTTTCTGACAGATATTGCGAATGCGATTTTATTTGTGATTAAATTGTTTTAAGTCAAGCTTCAGTTCAATATTCACTGTGTAATAGATTTAAAACATGTGATGGAGCATTACCACATGCTACCATCAAAATATGAACTGCTCTCTATATTCTAATATAAGGATGAATTGCTTCCAACATGTATTTATAAAAATGTTTTAATTGAAATAGAACAATCAAACATAAAACAATTGTTAAGTTAAATAAATAAAGTTATAATAAAAAAACAATTCCAATAAAGTAATAAGACTTTTCAAATCGCAAAAAATCGCAGCCTTTGCGATTTGCTAATCTCATTGTTTCAAATTGCGATTTCGATTTGAAATCGAATAATCGTTCAGCCCTACAGTCGGAGCCACCAATTAGTGGACACGTGTTAGGTGGAGCGGTAGTCGTGTTTCGATTCCAGCTCACAGCCCAGCGTCGGGGACGAATATCTGAACCGATCCTGGGGCTCCCGTCGGTCGACTCAGCCTTAAATCAGTACCTGGTGCCGTGTGTTTACAGGAGCACTTTGGAGACAAAGGCGGCCAGCCGGGTGTGGTTCTGGCCACACAACCCTCGTAAGGCGTGTGCCGTACCGGCCTTCATAGGGTGCTCACTAACTGCACTTGTCCCAACAGTTTGGGGGATCTTAGTTTTTTTCTCCTTTTTTCTTCTTGGTTCTTTCGGTAAAGTCACGTAGAAGGGAAGTAATAAAATAATAAAAATAAAACATAATAAAATAATTCTCACGACGTTTCGGCAAAATAATTTGCATATCAAGAGGAATTTAGCATGCTAAATTCCTCTTGATATGCAAATTATTTTGTCAAGGCGCTCTTCTTCCCACCTCCCCCCTCCAACCCAGCTTAAATATACGCTCCAAGCTTGGTGGTGTTTCATTCTTCACCTGAGGACGGCTGCTTGCGTTGTGGCCGAAACGTCGTGAGAATTATTTTATTATGTTTTATTTTTATTATTCTATTACTTCCCTTCTACGTGACTTTACCGAAAGAACCAAGAAGATGAATCCCTGCAGTCACGAAAGCTTTAAATCGGGATCTTAGTTTGTTTGTATGGTGTGTACTCTGTTCATCTGCGTCACATAGCTGGAGTTTAGGGCCCGCGGGGACCAATCCCTCCCAGTGAACCCTGGGACCCAGCCACCTTGGAGTTGGAGACCTCCACCTGGCACCCTGGGATCCTGCACCTGGAGCTGGGACCTTCAACAGGGACCCTCCACCTGAACCCTGGCAGGGTCCTTGCCACCTGGAGACTCCACCACGAGTGAAGTAAGTCATCCGCTTCATGTGTGCGCGAAGCTAAAGCCGATAGCGATTCAATTATGCTGACAGGTATTCATCATATAGGCGTGGACATGTGTGTTGCGAATTGATGTTCTCCATGATAGAGGTTGTTGGGTTAGATCGCGTGAATATAAATGCGTCGTTAAACCCGCCACCACCCGATATAGTCAATTAGTAAGGTTTGTCACGTGAACAAAACGCGTCAATTCGTTACTAGTTCAGCACGCCGGTGTGTTGGAGAGCAAACCCACAACATTTACAATTCGAGTACGACGTTTCGCCAGTAATTACAATTCGCATAATGAGGCGGACAGCCAGAGTATGTTGACGTGACAAAACATAATAATTGACTGTGTCGAGCAGTGGCGGGTTTAACGATAAATATTTACGCTAACCCAAAAACCTCTTCTGAATAATATTGGTCGCGAAAGCCTGCGTGTTAAATTGGTGTTCAAATCACGCGTGTGCCTAGCTTTGGATCGAAAGTCTGTTTGGTTTTGGAAAATGCCGATCTGATGTCCCAGGGTCTTTAACGTCCATGTCACAGTCACACAGGAGCAAGACCTCTGGGCAGTGAGCACTGAACAGGCCTGGGGAGTTTATTCTGCCGCAATGCACGTGCTCACTTTAAATCTATGTTTTTATTTGTGCTCGTTTAAGAAGTCGTTAATTACGCAGTGATTTTCCACAACGGACGTTTCCATGGAATTCCGTTTGCATGTTCAGATCGCTTTTAAAGTCACAATTAAGTATCTCGAAAATGCTTTAAATGTTTTCACGTATAAAGCTTTTAGCACTTCGATGTAAAATGTTTTAGAATGTTGCTGTTCTGCCACTAGGGACGCTGTGTTTTGTTAGATTTTAAACGCTAATTTGAAGCAAATATATCGATTTACCAGCGCAATTGAACTGTAGGCTTATTTTTTAAAAATCACTGTGAACCTGAGCACTGAGACCTTATTTTGAAATGTTCGTAATGTTTGTCATTGTTCTTCAAATATTGTTTTGGTGTCGAAATAGCAGTTAGAATGCCAATTACAAAAGAATTGCACTCCCAGTGGCGGGAAGTGACCCATTTATGGTGCTTTTTTGTGTTTCCGTGCTTAGCTTCACAGTGATTTTGTGTAAAACTGGCTCACGCTTTAACATTTTTGGCAAAACGGTGGAATTCGATATGTTTGCCCCAAAAAGAGCGTTTTGAAGGGACATTCTAATGAAACAGCGCCCCCTAGGCAAACAGCGACCCCTAGTGGTAATAAAGTTAGTTGTATGTATCCCCAAAAAAAAACTTCCACATTTATTTCCTTCTCCCTCTCCCATCTCCCATCTCTCCCCTCCCTTCTGCTGTACTCCAGGTTCCTGCTTCCATTTGGACTTCGTTCTGCGAACCTGCATTCCATACAGAGGACACACGACAATACATCCACATTAAAGCACTTACATTGAAATCGCACTTAGTTCCATGCCCATGGGTGGGATTTGAACCTAGAAGCTCTGCATTACCAGACTCTCACTGCGTGCGCAGAGCCACCGTGTTTCCTACAAGTGGGGTGGGTTTAGAGGCGCTCTATGTGTCTGTACTGCACGCATGTGGCTCATCGTATGATTTGTATAAGAAAGCGAAAATATTTACCGTGGGATTTGAACCCATGCTAGGAGAGTAAGAGGCTACATGTCTTACCACTGCATCGAGAAGGCTTGATGTTCCGGTTATTAAATACTTGGTGATTTAATCATTGCTATTTAACGCTTACAATTGTTTACAATATATATGAAAACATATATAAATTACATACTGTACTTTTTAATGGATAATACGGGCGTGTAATTGAATGTAATAAAAACAAATATTCAAAAAAAAGCTGGATTTGAACCCAAAACCTTTTGACTCTCAACCCCATCAAATAGCCAGTGAGCTATCTTGTTATGATGATGTTAAATGTGATTTTGACTCTTCCATAAGCAGTCAAAAGAACAAGGGTGGAAAATTCACTGGCGTAACATCATATCCAAATCTCGACATTAATGAAAATGTTATCCATGGACCATATAGTAAACCACTGGATCCTGTGCTCTTTCGATTGAAGAAAAATCTGAACTACACAAACTATCCTGAAGCCTTCTCATGGCTAGCAGACCTCGACATTGGTGTGTTTAACTTCTGAACCTATTGCCATAATACGCAAGAATAGAATAAAAGTGTTTTTTTTACATTCTGACGAGCACACATCCTTCTGAGAGTGACGAATTGAGTCGACCTAGGGGACCAGATCATCGCCACTGATGTTAGCCGTGAACTGTAAGAGCACAGTATGGTCATTCCACTGGTGAATGAATTCCCTCCACAAGTCAACGCCACCAGATGATGTTTCTTGGATACAACAATGCATTCCGCGCCTGCACATGAGCTGACGTCATCGCTCCATCTTCCTGGCGGACGTACTGATGGGTACATTCCATACCTTGGCGGCCACTTCGTTATTATTTTTTCAACCGTGATGATGGTTACAAACTGAGTAATCATTGGAAAGATGTGATTAACCATGCAAAAAATGTTTAACTACACTTATTTGACCAATCTTATTTCTTATTTGACAGACAACTATTACAGGTGTACCATGTTTATCATGTTCACCATGTTTAGTTGTCACAAACCATAACAAAGGCTCACCCTCTTAAGCCTCACCTTACCATATGAATAAAAAGTGTGCTGTACTTGGCCCTTACCCCCTCTCCAACCATTATATAAACGGAGTGGTAGCTCCTGCAATCTCTCATGTACTTGATACAGCTGTCGTGGCTGTGACGGTTCCACCTGAAGACGGAAGCTTGTGTTGCCTCTGAAACGTCGTGATTTTTATTTTATTTTACTTTTATTAATTTTAATGTTTTACCTACGTGACTTTACCGAAAAAAACCTAAGAATATGAATCCTTGCAGTCACGAAAGCTTCAAATCTAGAATTCGTTATTATTCTTGACCATCACCCGTCATCCTTTCGAGCGAGAAATGCGTCCTGCCCCGAGCCCACGAACACCAAGGCCTTTGTGTCCCCACGTCTGTGTTTGCACCTATATGGGTTTCCCTTCTTATGTGTTTGTGTGCGTCTCTGTCTTCATTGCCGTTGCTCACGCGGTGATACAGACCCGGCACATATCCGTCAATCTCCCAACACATAACATTACCCGCAGATTTTTTTTTTTCACGGATAAGTGGAATCCTGTGGCCAAATTCATGCTTTAATCCAGCAGTGGTTTGATCACGGCTGATTGTGATGATGAAGAGAAGTCAATGTATTGCTTATGCCAGTCGCAGTACGAATTTCAAGAGTGCATGGTCATCAGTAAGCAGGCACCACGTGTAATTTGATCATCGTGGGCATTACAGTGTAAAATTACAGCGTGCTATGAAACCTTAAACCATCACTTGTAGCACAACACAATATTACAAAGGCACGCATAATTTCCAAATGTTTACCACTCAGCATGTAGAGATACTTTATTATTATATGCTATTTAAATAAGAGCCTTTATTTTGCACAGCATTGTAATTTTGCAACATAGTTCATGATATACGTCACAGAGGACAGCATCTGAGAGCCACGTGTTCACATATAACCCACACTCCCAGCAATACAGCCAACGTGGAAAAGAAAGCGGCATCTAATCACAAGTTTTGATTTTAAAAGCAAAAAAAATACATCCCAACAAGTCTCCGCTGTACCGCACATGCGAATGAACCGAGCGGATAGGTCACGGAACAGGAGTGCGAGAGTTTTAACGACAGTTGCAGAAAATCCTTACAAGAAATAACCACGGTTTGATGAAATATATCTTACAAATTTGCAGCTGATCTTTCACAAATCGTCCTGATCGTGAAATGAATTGATAGGTTCGTGATCTTAAAAGTCTTGAATTAATTTAAGTATTTTTTTTATCTGACAGGATTTTGTGTGTGTGTGTATATACAGGCAAATCTTTGTCGTTACATTTATAAATGGGCGGAGGAGATATAAAAAAACAAAATCTTAGTAGATTTTTACAGAAATGTTGAGTATTCCCATGTAACGTTATTTATGATATCACGACACCAACGATATGCCCAGACGTGATGGCGTTGAGTTCAAACTTGGGTGCTAACGTGTTGATATTTTAACATGTTCTCAAATCGCATATTCATAGACATTTAAAGTAAAACAGCTTTAGCTGTGTAGTTTTCACAACCACTGTTAAAATATATTATAATTTTAAACATCCCTGTTACTATACAACCTTTTACGGTTCATCTCATATTGATGTGTAGTTTTTAGAACATTTTTTACATTATGTTTTACTTCATATATGGAATTGTTGCTTTGTATATATATCTGCTGAAGACTGTCAGTTGTTATTGCACATTCACAAATGTTCACAGCATTTTTGGTATGAAATAAACTGGCTAACGCAAAGTTTGGCTGCCATAAACATAAACGTTTAACATGAAAGAATAAATACTGAGAAAACCACTTAACACACATTTGTGCATTTTTCTGTATTGGCAAAACTAAATATTTAATGAAAACAACATTCTTCGAGTAAAACAATATAACATCTTACATAAGTTAAATCGTCTTTGAAGCTATCTGTCAAAATGTATGTCCATGCAATGGCATTAAGATGCGCAGTGTGTTGTGAGTGGGACTATTGTACCCTCTGCGGCTTTTGGTGGTGGAAACGTTTGAGGCCCGGCAGGTAGTTTCCCTACACGTTTCATCCACACCATCACACGAACTTCGGGCATCCTCGCAACGACTTTTGGCTGCCCATCGAAAAAAGACGGGCCACTGCACCCCACCCGCACGTTTTCAGATGCGCTTCTGTGGCCGTCTGGAACGCTCTTCCTTCCGATATTCGGAAGCCACTGGAGCTATGCACTTTGAAATCTCATTTATTTTTTGTTTGTCCTCCTTCCCCCGCACCTCAAATTAGCACAGGAGGCTACGTGCGGTTCGAAAGAAGTTGAACATACGTACGTACACACAATGCCCCCCCCCCCCCCCCGACATAGCTGCCCCGTTTAAAATGGTCCATGCACAATTCGTCATCAATATCACCCTTTTAATAGTCCATCGCACAGGGTTAATACATTGCGTGTATTTCCCTAGTCACCGCGGCCAGTCAATTAAACTACTCTCTACTGTCATAAGTTATGCCACCTTGTAGTGCGGCGCTAGCCCTACCCACTCATGCTCCTATGCCACACAAAGTAATCTCATGGTGAGCAGGCATGCGAGTAATTGCTACACGTACACTCCCCACCACCCGCCTTCCAAATATGTATCTTTCGACTGCTTCGCACAACACGGACAATTCAGGACTTTCATACAAGTACATGACTGTACTCAGTATCGTATTAGCAGTACGGCACTCAGAGCAATGGGAGATGTAATAAACCTGCAGCGTTTGACTGCGATCACTCAGAACAGAACCATGGGTCGTTAAAACGACTCAATGCTGGATTCGCAAACACGAATGAAATGTCATCACAGCAGCGAGTCACTCCGTTATCTCCCGACGCAATCATCTGGCTCAACCACCTCAACGTAAAATCATACTTGCTGCACTACATCCACATCAGCCATAAGAAGAAGTACTCAGAACAGATTTGGTCATGTGAGCTACGGCCTTACCGTGTTATTACCATCGACCCATCGTTATATGAATGTATTGATTTGGAATACCCGACTTTAAATTGCTCATTGCGATAGAACGTTATATGTTGTATATCATGTTCAGTTGTGTGTGCCGAACAGAATCTACTTTTTTTGCATTGAAAGAATTTCGCGAATTTCGAGCGATCGTATGAAATCATTCAAAGTGTATAATTCCCGAAAGATTTTACATAATTATAGCATTGTATAAACAGCATCTAACATTTATCCAAGAGCAAAAATGTGAAATATCTTGCTTAAACCCTGTAGTAAGTAAAATCATATAGGTCATTAAAACGGTGGTATTTAAAAAAAAAATTAACTTGATCACAGAATGCAAAGCACAACAGTTCGGTGAATGGCATGTGTCCTTTTAAATTTCTTTCAAAGAGCAATTGCTTTCCCAATTGCTGTCCCCCTTTCAAAAAGAAATCGTACGGCCATAACAATAATAATGATATCCATTAAGAACTACAGTTGAATAATTGCACAGAAAAAAACACCCAACAACTTGGCACTGTTTTACACAGATTGAGTAATTTCAGATTCGTTATTCTCAAAAGCCCACTGGTTATAACCACCCCCAAGTTTATATAAAATACAACACACATTGTGGCTCAACATCACTTGAACACAGAGAGAGGAGGTCATGACAATGGCGGTGAAACGAAACGTTACAAAACCCTATGTACATTTTTGCATGGACATTGGCTGAATATTGTGTACTTTCTTACATTTTCTCAAAGGTTAACGATGTGGGTAAACGTTTACACGATATACACATTTTAATTTATCTGCAAAAAAATTGAAAAATGCACAAATGTAGGATTCAATAACAAACACAGAGTACTTGGCCATGCTTTTATGTATAACCTTGCATTTGTGTGATTTTGCATCGTGTTTGCTTGTGCTTACACATAACTTACGATTCATTGACCAGCCACGCACACTTACAAAGGTAAATATCCCCCCTCCTCCATATAGCCTGCAAGAGACTGTTGGGGCAAGTGCTGTTAGCAAGCACCTATGAAGGCCGGAATGGCACACGAGGGCATGATGGGTGGCCAGCACCACGCCCGGCAGCCTTTGTCTCCCCAGTGGCGACGCACCAGGTACTCATTTGAGGCTGAGTCAACCTAGGAGATTGCCAGGACCGGTTCAGATAATCGCCACTGGTGTTAGCCGTGAGCGGGAATAGAACTCGGTTCGCCGGGTTTGTAGCGCGGCGCGCTAACCACTGTGCCACCGCTCCTCAACGCACACGCACGCACACGCACACGTGCCGGCTCGGAAAGTTGAAAAGGTCACGCTCTGGCTGCTGATATTCACTGCTTGGCCTCTTCGCAGCTGACATTTACAAAAGAAAAAGGTAAGAACATTGCTTAACAAAAAAAAAGTACCCCCTTGCTAGATGCGACAAAAATAACATTTGTGAACGCCAGTGAAACTTCACGTAAAATTTGGCTTATACCAACGATTGCTTTACTCAAAATGGTGAAATCTTCACGCGAATAACCTGAAGCCCGTCGAAGTGCTCTCCATGCACAACCGAGCCTGCACATTAATCACCGTCATCAATCTTTTAACAGACGCGTCGTCGTTGCGAAACACGGCGGGCAAGCTGGAGCGTGTATACAACGCACAGAGGACACTCGTCAGGATCAGAGAGCCATACAATTGACGTTAAGCTTCCCCGACCGGGTGAACCCGAGCCGCTACGCAAACACAGGGGTGTGGAGCTCATGCGACAAAGCGTCTTCCAGCACCAACCTTCCCCACCTCCCCCACCTCCCCCGCCATTCACTAAACATCACAACTGCAGGAATCGGTGATTGCTAGCGATGAGCATACCGGTACAAAGACAAAGATCCCCCGTATAGCCTTAACAGACTGTCGGAGGCAAGTGCTGTTAGCGAGCACCTATGAAGGCCGGGACGGTACACGAGGGGGTGGCTGGCCAGCAACACGCCCGGCCGCCTTTGTCTCCCCAGTGGCGATGTTTACACACCGCACCAGGTACTCATTTGAGGCCGAGTCGACATAGGGGAGGCCCAGAACCGGTTCAGGTAATCGTCACCGGTGTTGGCAGTGTGCGGAAGTCGAACCCGGGTCACCAGGTTCGTAGCGCAGCGCGCTAACCACTGCACTACCGCTCCCCACCGGGTACGCACACACACAGACATCAGCTGCCAACTCCCATCCGCAATGAAGACCCATCGCTCTTGTTACCGCCAGGATATAAATCCGATTTCCTCCACGCCGCCAAATTCGCGGTTGGAGCACTGACGACCTCATCCAACAAGCCTCGTGCCACAGTCTGGAAAACTTCAAACGCACCACGTGGAGCCCTCAATTCACGAAGTCCCTTCGTGAACAAGCCTCAGCAGTCTCCTTTATTAAGCGTTATCATTATTTCGTATAATCCATTGCTACTGCTCATTTGCATGGAAATGTGTTTCCTGCTGGCCTCGCGTGGAACATTTATCAAGGGTACTCATTACTCTGTCCAGAAGTGTAAAGCTTAATTAGCAATAACACACAAGCAGGTTATCCATATAAAACACAGCTCGAAACGAGTGTAGTCATCATGGTTCTAATGTTGCCACTGCTGCTGATACGGAAGCGATTTTCCACAATAGTCGTGATGCATCTGCAAGTATGTAGATTCTTGATACAAAGAATGATGCAAATATGCAATAGCATCTTATTTTGTTTCACTGAGACGATGTTATCTCGTGCCTCGTGAAGAGAAACAGATGGATAATGCCCAGCGAGCGCAAACAAAGATACGACTCCACTTACAAAAGAAACAAGCAGAGTTTGAGGTTTTGTTTCATAACGTCAACTGGTTGAACACTTTGCGGTAAATGTGATGCAGAAAGAATGCAATCAAGATAGTAAAAAATAGAAAAATTAAAAAAATTACATGAAAAAATTATACACTCGTTAGATATGGCCACTGTAATGGTAGAAAACATGAACCAAAGAAATAAACGTGTTAATAAAACTGAGAATTACGACAAGAATCATCACGCGTACCGTGCGAGTGTCAATTGACACCTCCTGAGCACCCGTGCGAATGAGATGACATCCGGCTCCTGGGATTATCCAGGCAAAACAACTAAAACTAATTAAACAAAATCTCTTCCACGAGGAGGCTTTGCAGCAGATCGTTCTAACGATAATCTTCTAGTCTTGTGAACTACACTGGGGCCTCGGGCCAGACCATGAAAGGATTTTGATTAAAAAGATTCTTATGAAAAGGAGATCTGATGATAGCCATGGGATAAAAATTTCACATATTAGGCTTTGCAGTGGATTCAGTATACAGCACTGGGTTCTATAATTACAATGTGGTTATATATAGTACCCCGAACCATTTTCCTTCAACATTGCCAGTCTTTTGTTGAGCAAAAATAAACGTGTGCCTCATCAGTTCAATAACATATGTCGACGTGAGTGATCCCAAAGTGCGTCTTTATTGCTTGTGCAATGTCTTTTTTTAACGAAATTATAATACAAATTAATGCAACAAAAAATCCACAAATTGTATCGGCAATAGCTTATCGGGAATGGAAATTAGAGGGCATTTAATTGACTGTTAAGAAAACAATAGGTGGGATTTGGCGAGTTGTCAGACAGAGGAGCGAATATACGCCCTATAAATGGACTTGCTCCTCTCTACATTCATGACCTTCAGCAATTTATTCCATCAAGATCATTAAAAGATCATCAGATTGTGCATTCACTGTCCCACGGTCTCTCGGCTTCACACTTGGGGGGGGGGGGGGGGTGGTGCCAATCGCGGCATCTAAACTGTAGAACTCATTGCCCTTCGAGGTCAGGACTTCGAGACACTTGCAGATATTCAAATCTCGACCACAAACGTACCTGTTTAAAATCTCTCTCTCTCTTTAGATATTTTCAAACATATTTCTCACTTCTTTTTTCCTTGGTTGATGTTTAAGGGCGCTTAATAAATTTACAAAATGACATCGTGCACCATGAGGCGATGGCGCAGACACAGGGAGGGCATTGTCCAGCCATGGGTAGAACAGCGGTGATGATGACAAATAATTGTTGCCTCTATTTTGTCGTAATTGCAGCAGTCGGTTTGAATTCCAAATGTAAGCATGCTTTCATGAAGCGGTGCAGAATACGTTTTTAAGAGCAGCGAAAAATAATTGGGGTGTATTGACCTGCATAAAAGCCAGTGTGCATTCGTGTTTGAGTTGATATCGGTAAATAATAATCTGGCACGCGCAGCTCCTTTCATTGACGAATGATTCAGGTTTGTTAGGCAAACACCATATTATTCAATGTAAACGTAAAAACAACAACAATGTATCAACACAATTCACAAACAGACCATTCGTAAAAGTCTGACTTCATTCTCTGTCTCGAGACAATTGCAGTTAACGTCTTGGTAAAACTATCGTGGGTTTCAAAACGTCATCAACTCGTCACCTTTGTAGGCCAACGCCGGTGATGCCATGCCGCCTCGCCAATACTTCCTACGCACATTCTCGCGATGCATACTCATAACGTTCTCTCGCAGAATTCTTGTGATATTTACTTACATTCTTATCACATCTCCCGGAAACAAGAGAAAAAAAAAAGTCACATTGTGATTTGTGGCAGGATACGATTTGTTGTAAGCTCAGTTTCGGAGGCTTTTGACGAACGAAATGAGTTGCAATAACAATTAAGATATGACGATGGCGTCGTTCTCACACGCAACGGGAACAGAAAGTTTGATAGAAAAAAAAACGTAATTTCAAGAATCCGTGAAATGTCCGAGAAGCGATCGTCTTCCAACTATTCACACGAAACGAGCGAATCAAACAAAACACGGTTATCGTTGAACTGCGGTGTCATTGCCCTCAAGCTTCAGGGATGGAATGAAAAAGGCAACGAACAGAACGAGCAGCATCCATGCATCACAGCTCTAAATTAGTCCATCAGGGACATCTGTTACTCCAAAAGGAAACTGCCCATCCATCTCGCAGACACAGGGCTCCTGAAAACATTCCTCTGTTTGTACGGCTATCCAACAATATCTTGGGTGCTTTCTTTCACAAAATAATCAACATTGCCTTTGTTGATGTAAGTATATATTTTTGTTAAATCCTAACAACAAAAACAATCGATTCGGATGAGAACCTGGGAGTTTATGCCCAGTAACAAACCGGTAGATATCACTCTTGTGACTCTTAGGTCGTGAGTAATGTACAAATGTGTATTTTTTGAAACGTTACTTTTAAATTACCCCCCCCCCTTTCTCCCACCCCTAAATAAACGAAAAATATACACTGACATTGTAAATCCGAGTAAGCAACTTGTACGAGAGGTGGTAAAAACTTTAACCGTCAGGATATTCATATAACGCACACCAACACTTGAGTCATTAACGTAATTTTCATTGCAGTCAATGCACTTACTCATTGTATCGTTGTTGTATTGTCAGTAGTCGGAGCTTGCTGATAATCTGATATTCCAATGTATTTTGAGCACCTCTTTGCACATCAGAAAAATAACAATGTCACACACGCCCGATGGTTGTTTATCAACGTAAACTATTCTCTTTGTATATTTGGCAATAATAAACCAATGCATCACAATGTCATGAAAAATGTCTAATTGGATTCGAAATAAAATTTACAAATAGCACACGTTGAGTTTTGATGTGTATACGCAAACACTGCAGTGTAACTAGCATCCAACCTCCGCCAAAAGTCAAAATCGATTGACGCAATCATATTTTTGTTAACTTTCGTCTCCAGCATGCATGCATACAATTACAAAGTATCCATGCCACAATATCGAGGTCAACATTTCTATACATTGTTCAAGTGGGGGCAATCAAAACACTAAATGTACAGAGGTCTCCTGTTTTCAACACACTGCATGCAAATACAGTTTGGAACACGATGCTATAAACAGTATATAGAATTATCCCTAACGCGGGCCATTATTCAGAAATCCTCTACAAATTTGTGCGTCCATTCCACCTTCTCCCAGGCATCCCCCTGCCCCACTCCCCCCCCACCGTGGACCCCACCCTCCAAACCCACCCATCCCTCCCATCCCTATCATCCCCCCCATCGCCCCCCAACACTCAACTCCAGCAATTCAAGAAAAACCACCGTTCACCGAGAGCCGGGATAAGTGTGCTGTTATTATTCACAAAGTTTCCTGTACAAAGTTCACAGTGCCGCTATGGCTCAAAATTCACATTGGACTCCAACTAAGTCAAGGCCACCGACAACTCGGACGTCGACCGATGAAGGTCACAGGCAGCGGCGGGGCGCTGCGGCAGTTGCTTCTCGAAAAAAACTCCCATTCCCAGCCGTCAGACGATGATTCACGACTTCGTCTCCAATTTTTCCAAAACGGGCGATTGGCTGCTCGTGCTTCATCGCCACCGGGGGGGGGCGGCGAGGGTGGCGGCGGCGGGGGGGGAGGGTGTCGGTAAACGCCGGTACCTCGTCACGGTTCCACCGCCTCCTCCTTCCGTGGGGCTGCCGTCCGCCTCGGCTCTCGGCCCTCGTCGGGGAGACCGGTCAACTTGCAGCCACATCGCCGTGGGCCTCATCTCGAACCGCTTTCTGCTTCCCCGGTGCCCGAGCGAGACGCCGCTCTGTCGCGTGCCCTGCGAGCGTGCCCGTTGCCAGCGTGCCCGTTGCGAGCGTGCCCTTTGCGTGTGTGCCTTGCGTGCGTGAGCGTGTGTCCGTGAGCGGATGGCATGGCGCGCGGGCCGTGCCGTTATACATTGATTCATTTCCTTATCACCCCACTGACGGGAGAGACGTTGCTGTGTGCGCGCCATCGACGAGCGGACGCGCTCAGTGTGCCTCGAGGTTGCTGAGCAGCAGCTTGTACCAGCCGATGGCCTTCTTCTTGAGATCCACCTGGTCCAGCCAGATGTACGCTTCTCCGATGAGCGTCTTGCGCACAAACTTGCCGCCGTTGGACACCAGCAGGATCTGCCGTGGGTGGCGGCAGACGGCCAGGGTCAGAGGTCAGATCGTGCAGCAGTGGCCGTTCTGTGGTCAACGCTCACTGTGTGCAATGCTTAATTGGAAACATGTTGCCGTCTTTACCCTGTTAGTTTTTCACCACGGCCTGCTTTTGCGAATAATTTGAACGGATTAAAATTCAAATGTAGGTGGATGGTTAATATACGTAAGACATTTTGCAAATTTGCTGGACCAACTCGTTTGAAATGCCCTCGTATTTAGGCATCGTCGTGACTTCTCTAAAAAATATATAATGATTCTGCATATGTTCTCATTGCATCTCCAGTTGATGCATTAAAATAAACATTTAACCTTCATGATTACCTTCGTTTAATAAGGCCGAAGAAAGTACGAGATAGTTGGTTTGTAAGGGAGAAGTGAAAACCTCAACTACCTTTATTGACTGCACCATAATGCGACGAAATTCCTAACTCCAGCAAACCATTGGTCAGACGAATAAACCAACTCAAGGGTAAGCTCCCCATAATTTCCTATCCAAATCAGTCAAAATGGAAAAAATGTAATGCCACTAACCACAGCTGGCTATATTTTATAGCTCTGATAAAGCTAATTCTCCTACATGCTGCTCTATTTATGACAAACAATGAACTCTGCAATGTAATAATAACAACAATAAGGACAATTTTTCTACAGCGTTTTAACTTGTCAAGCCATTACAAGAGAGCTGAACAAACAACAAAAACATTACAGATTCATAATTAGTTCATGGCAGTGAGAAATAGATGTCGTGTCACTTTATGTCATTATGGTGCAAGTGAAATATCGTGTGGTTGTAAGAGTATATGTGCTAGGTTAGGCCAAGCCAATATTTTAATTTCCACTCTGTATTTTGTACAAAATATATGGCATTGAAGCTGACGTATGCTCAAGGCTGTAGGGTTGTGTGATGGAAAAATGAGGAAATGGTGTAAATTGTGGGCTTGCACGCTCAGAGCTGCCCACACAACGGCTCCATTGGCATAACTCAAAACGCCGCGTTCCCACCGCAACCAGTGGGAAGGGCTGAGTTCGTGAACCGGGCTCACAGAGACTCTGCCCAAGTCCAGAATCAGAATATTTATGTATACTGGAGGAATCCGATGAGCTCTCAAGCTCGTTTTCACACATGTCCAGTAGGGACGGGTCAGAATGTTACAACAAAAATACAGAAATCCGACAGGAGTGCAACGTTCCCAAGCGAGCCGGGAGAGTGAGCTCACCGGCTCGCTCATCCGCAACGAGCTGCACCGCTTGTGACCCGGGCTGCCCTACGAACCAGTCGTGACATTGTGGGATCTATGCGGAAGCATGACACGTAGTCAATGGTGTCCTTGGCTTAGTTCAATTTCAGGGCGGTATTTTTAGAAGGGAAAAAAAAACCGGTGGGGAAAAAAAATAAATATTTTGGCTTGGAATAACCCGGTGCATAAACCCGACTGCCACTAGAATATTCTACTTGCACTACAGCATAAATAAATTAATGTTTTAAGTTTAACTCCGAATTGTGAAGGGGGATAATCATGGGTGACAGGATGGTAAATTAGGAACACTTGTGTCTTACAACAAGAAGGGCCTGGGTTCCATCATTCCTGATACGGGTGCCTTTCTGAGTGGCGTTCGTATATTCTCCCACCATTCTGCATGGGTTTTCTCCGGGTTCTCTGCTTTGCTCTCATAGCTAACACACCGTACAATGTAACTGGTATGGACCAAACATTCCAATGCTGATTGACAGCTACAAATAACTTATTGGGGTTAACATAACATTTCCCCCGACTGCGATAACGTGGCAGGACGCTCCTGAGACTCAGCGACGCTTCACTGGGTCAACAAGTGTAATCACAGGTCGATTAGATGGGTCACTCCTGGGGTACCCGGCCAGCTTTCCAACGGCAGTGAAAACGCAGCTCAAGGAGCTGGGGCGCCGGTGCGTGGGTCCCTGCCCACCTGCAGCGAGTGGCCCTGGGGGTTGATGGTGAAGCGGAAGGTCTCGTTGAACATGGGCTCGCGGTCGTGACGACAAACACGCGTCTTCTTCTTGAAGAGCTTCTTCTTCGATGCCAGGTTGATGACGTACACCTTCACGTACAGGTCTGCGCGCACACGTGGAGAAACGGCGACGCCTCGGTACAGTCGTCAAGGAGAATAAACCATCGTCACCAGTGGCGGCTCCTGCAAAATCTCTCAGGGGGGGCAAATGTCTGGATGATTGATAAGGATAAGGTCCACCCATGCAATGGATAAATTAACAGCTTAAGCATGTAAAGGCAACTTCACTTCTTTAATATTAATGAAAAATAAAGTGACTCTTACAATACATATTGTTTGTTTCTATACTCACTATTATTACAATCCATTAAGTTTCTTTTATTAAAGATTCCACGAGGTAGCGACAAATAATATTGTTGACTGAAACGTGCTTACGTATGATGACGTAAGCACGTTAGTGCGAGCCCTCCCGGAAGCTGTAGAGAATGCATTGGAGCGCCCGACGTTCGAAAAAAAACATCTTTGAATGTAAGTCTATGGGAACACTCTGGGCGATTCTCAGCCGGAGTGAAATCGCCCAAAAAGAGGCGGTACTCCACAGAACGTGACATGACGCTGATTGGACTATATCCAGAGGCACAGTAACGGCTGAGATTGGTGGTGCGTCGCCCAATCGCCCTAATGAAGAAACCGCCCCTGATCATCACGCAAACTCCGCTCATCCGTCCAGTGCTCGCCGAGCTGCATCGACTTCCGTTTGCCGAACGAAGACATTGTAAGGTGGCTCTCGTTACGCACAAAGTGCTCGCCACAAATGAACCACAATTACCTTGATGATCTTGTCAAGAAGCATAAATCATCACGCGAACTCCAGTCATCCTCGCAAGCGACGACTTTTGGCCATCGAACAAAGATGGTCACCGCATCGCGCGCTTTCAGATGCGCTTCTGCGGCCGTCTGGAATGCTCTTCCTCGCAATATTAGGAAGCAACTGGAGCTAGGCACTTTTAAATCATCTAGATTGAAAACCCATTTCTTTAGAACTGCTTTTTCTGTTCAGTTTGTTAGCCTTCCCTCGCACCTCCGATTAGCGCGTCTGGCTACGTACATAGTTAACCGTGCTAATTGGTGAAGTACGTCAAAATAATCCCCCATGACCCACACCGCGTGTTAGGGTGGGGGGGCTCATTCAGCGGTGGACCGACAGCATGCGCATGTTCTCTCGTGTCGTCAGAACTTGTATCACGTGTTGGCTCGCAGAAAGTTACATATCACGCATAATATTGTGACTGCCGTATTCTTCCATCATGCGTTGCGGCCTGTCGCTCACCTCGACGTCTATTGTTTAAAACGGCAGAATCGTCGTGCGATGTCTGGGTGAAGTGGAGCCAGGCAAACACGGAGCAGTAAAAGGCAGGGAAACGTGACTTCATGTGGCAAGGTCAGGCTGTTATGCAAGACACTCGAGGAAGTACGACACAAACTTGAAGGCAATGTCCTAGCAAATAAAATATCTCGCCATGGTGGCGAGATGTTAACTGCCTCGCCTGATATACAGGAGGTCGTGGGTTCGATCCCGACCCTGACACCTGTATATTTAGAGTTTGCATGTTCTCCCCGTGGTCACGTGGATTTTCCCCTGGTTTTTCTCGTGAGGATGATAAGCCACTTCGTTGATCTATTATTTGTGGCCAGGTTGCTTCTGAAACGGAGCTATATAGCTCAGTGGGCCTTACCTGGTAAAATAAAAAAAAGTTAGTAAATACTTTGCCGTTGAATTTAGGTCAGCACGCAAATATACCTGGCAGGTGATCAGGGGACTTGAATTTGAAGGTGATGTTCCGGCACTGGATGATCTCAACAACCAGCTGGTCGCCATCGGTCTTCATCTCCTTCTTCAGCGAGATCTTCATCTCTCCCATGATCTGGGCTGTACGCATCGCACACCAAGCGAGAATCATGGAGGGCCATTAAAGCCCAGCAGACAGGGCCGGATTAACGCAGTGGTTTCGGGGTTGCAGCCCGGGACCTTGGATTTGAGGGCCCTCAAATACACAGGGTGCTTCAAAAAATTTTATTTGCAACAATACCACAAGAAATGTGCTTCCGGGCTCTGGAGACCACCTGGAGAAGATTCCAGGCACGTGTTGACAATGATGGCGAACAAGTGGAGACTCCTCGACTTCTTAAAGCTATTAACATACATTTTTTATCATGTTCCAGTGTATTATCCGTTCTTTTGACATTTAAAACGATAGTCCCATGTAAGTGTTAACGTTTTTTGAAGCACTCTGTATATACAGCATTATCTGATTTACAGCCGTTGAAATGCAATACTGTGGCATTATGATAAAGCCTATAGTGGAATTTGGCAATTAGAGCCAGAGCATCACAATATGCATTACTACCAGTTAAGCCCAAAAAATGTAATATATGTGTTTGTATTAATTTATAATTGGCTTTACAATTCACAAATTAAATTTAGATATTGGAACTATAAAAATTAAAGTAAACATCGAATAAGTGTTTAGCATCATCAGGCAAGGGTGGTGGTAAAATAATCAATGGATGGAATAGAAATAAATTAAGTGGGCCTCAAAAACCTATAACAGCATGGGGTCTCAAAACCACATTATATGGCCCTCCTGGTAGATGGTTCCACTAGGCTCAAGGAAAATATTTCCACCAGCACGTAAATCACATCCTGAATGTATAGTCCATATAGTGCTATTCGTGGGCATTTAGTACGCACACAAAGACAAATATCCCGCGTATCGCCTTAACAGACTGTTGGGGCAAGTGCTGTTAGAAAGTCGCACCTATGAAGGCCGGCACAGCACCACGCCCGCCCGCCTTTGCCTCCCTAGTGGCGATGCTGCCGCACCAGGTACTCATTTGAGGCTGGTGTTGGCCATGAGCAGGAATCGAACCCGGGTCACGAGGTTCGTAGCCAAGTGCACTAACAGTTGCGCTACCGCTCCCCATATTATGCACACACACACGGCAAAATGCAAAGAATGCCTTTGGTTAGCGGGATTAGCCCGTGGAAGACAAGAACTGTAACTGCCGTGACATTAAAGTTGAAAGAACATGCCTGGCAACTAGCGTCAGTGTAGATATGTATATAATATATAGTTTTTTGGATTATATCGCGTAAATATTCTATTATATGTGATAAAAAATATTTATTTATATCGCGTAAATATATTACGCGTTCTATAATTATTATTTTTAAAATAAAATTTCGCAATGTGACCCAAAAAAATCTGTACGGATGATATTGGTCGCGAAAGACTACGTGTTTAGTAGCTGTGTATAAGTAGTGCAGACCAATACACTACCGTTATCGATGAGGCAAGGACAAGTATTAACGTCAATGCTCTGAGACAATGGCCGCTATGAAATTTCACAAGTGTAAGCCAGGCCATGAAAGCGCGGAGCGATTATATTGAACAATTTAAAGCGTGTTGGCATGGTCAGCTTATCATCGTGGCGACGAATAGATTTGGAAAGATAGCTATGCCAACCAAGACAAGTGAATGAGCAAATCAACAGACATCAGCAATTATGAAGTGATACAGCTTTCATATCTGACAGAATGAAAGTGTGCGTGGACGAGTGAAGATCAGTTAACAAGTGGTGACAAGCTTCCAGAAGAGAACGTGTGCCATGAGGTCAATGACATTCATTATTTATGTGATTAAAATGTAAAAAGGTAAAGGTGCAGGCAAGCAATTGCTTGCTCATGCCGAAGCTGGCGGAAGGGTCCCCACGAGAGAAAGTTATAGAGAGCCTCTTCTTGGTTCTTTCGGTAAAGTCACGTAGAAGGGAAATAATACAATAATACAATAAAAATATAATATAATAAAATACAATTCTCACGACGTTTCGGCTGCTTGCGTTGTGCCCGAAACGTGGTGAGAATTGTATTTTATTATGTTTTATTTTTATTATTTTATTACTTCCCTTCTACGTGACTTTACCGAAAGAACCAAGAAGATGAATCCCTGCAGTCACGAAAGCTTTAAATCGAAATTTATAGAGAGCCTCTCTATGTGGCATTTGGCCTACTCTTCCACACTGGTCAAAAATGTTGGAAGCGATGGCAGTTACACACACTTTACCCCACCGTGTGCAACTTGCCGATCGGCTAACTTGTGGTGGACCCATTTATACACTGCTGCGTGGACGGATGATGCATGGGTAGGATTAGAGAAACCTGTCCATTGGTTCAACTGCCGAGCCGGGAGAATGAACCAGTGAATCTGGAGATTGTAAGTCCGGCCTGCTAACCATTAAACCAGTGCAAGCATTGGACATTTGCTAAAGCGGTGAAAATAAACACATCGCTGCACATTAACAGGCGGGAGTGCCAACAAACTTTACCCCACCACATGCCACCTGCCTATCGTCTAAATGCGGTGAACACATTTACACGGCTGGGTAGACAGAGGTGGGGGGGGGGGGGCGATTTAATAAAACTTACACCTCGCCGGATTACAAGTCCGGTGTGCGAACCAATTCACCACGGTAGCATTCCGGGTTAATATTATTGTGATGAGAAAATAGAACGACATCATTGGCCGCGCGATAGCAAATCGTGATACTGCCATCATAGGGCCTCTAATTTTGGATGTAACACAAAGTTACGCTGAATTTTGTACTAAATATTTGAGCATTTAATGGCACTGTCAAAATAAATTGGATGTTGTATTCTCTGGCTGTGAAACAAATGTGAGAGTTGACTCCATTCATCAAAAGCTCCAGAAGCCTAATAGGTCATAGCACATATCCAAATGAAATTACATTTCCTCAAACACGACTCTAAAGAAATGTAAAATGTTTTTAGAATCTTGTTCCTATCAAAGTTACCAGACACTTACCTAAAATGTAAGAATGAGCAGAGAACATTAAAACCTGTTTTCATACATGTTACAAGTTAATAATAATTCAACGCGTTGATTGTAACTCTTTTCGTTAATTGGCCTTCACGCTTCCGCAAACAAGAGAGACTGCTTTTAATGAGAGGAATTCTGGCAGCCTTGCAGACGAACGTGGATTACAAGTTAATTGGATGCTCCAGCAATTAAGCTGCTAACAAATGTTATTTATTGCGATTCAAAACTCAACCCCATTGGCAACACCAGCTTTGCACGTTTTAGTGGCTGCATACAAAGTCCAACAATGGAGTTGCTTGCTTTGCGTTAATTTATAATTGCAGTTTTATAAGCTTTAAAGTGGTGTATAATCTCGATTTAAAGCTTCCGTGACTGCAGGGATTCATCTTCTTGGTTCTTTCGGTAAAGTCACGTAGAAGGGAAATAATAAAATAATAAAACACAATAAAATACAATTCTCACGACGTTTCGGCCACAACGCAAGCAGACGTCCTCAGATGAAGAACAGGTCTGTCGGAAAGACAGCGTCTGAATGAACACCACCAAGCTTGGCAGCGTATATTCAAGCTGGGTTAGAGGAGGAATGACTTTACCGAAAGAACCAAGAAGATGGTGTATAATCCTCGCAAAGTTGAGTAAAGGCGCAGCCCTGAAATTGCTCGATAACGCAACTGCTGGTGGACGAGCCTCCGCCAGAGGAAGCTCTGGAGAGGCCCTCTAGAAAATATACTCAACACTCAACAACAACAGTCGCCATTCGCTATCAAACGACGGTGACGTCACAGCGGCGCCTGTGCCAGGCCAGGTGCACTTTGAGGCCATCACGTGAAGTGTCGAAGGCCCGCTGCTGGCAGGAGGTCACGGGACAGACCCAGGTGCCATGGGTTGACTGACTGAGATGACTGATATTATTGACATTATAATGATATTATTTAGATATTTTCCACATGATAAGCCACTTTGTTGAGCTGTTATTTGTGATAGCCAGGCCAAAATAAGTTAATACCTCAGTGGGCTTTGCCTGGTGGGATGGGGCTGTTTTAGTTTCATTTGAATGTTTTTGGGTGATTGTTTGCCTTTCTTATACTTTGCACTGCTATCGTGTTTTTGTATCGTTTGTTGCTGTAACGTTATTACCCGCCCTTTCCGGACAACTGTGAAAGAGCTTTATAGCTCATCGGATTCCTCCAATATAAAGAAATATTCTCGTTCCGATTCTGACTGGCAGATGCACCCACCGGCTGTGGTTCTCAACCTTTCTGGAACCGGTGGGTTTATTGTCAACGCTCAAAAAATGTTCCCGGATTATCGTGCACCAATAACGCTCTAAATCGTGGTTCCTGCGACAGTTCCACGGACCACTTCGCTCGACGTTGTGGGTTGTGGGCCAACCTGTGATGCGTGGACCACAGTTTGGGAACCACTGCTCTAGAGGATATTTTGTCCAATTCTTCCATACTACCCAGATGTCTTGGAATAGGTTGCAGTACCCGCACTTAACCCCAACCACACAGCGACCGACTGTGCGACTCATTTCTATTGCTGGGTGCAAAGAGGCAGGGGAATTCAAGAAAATGTCCCCATCGTTTAAACTGCCACGCTGGGAGATCGAACTGGCGACCTCTGGATTGCAAGCGCAGTCTGCTCACCATTTCACCACGGCAACATCCCATTATACACCATTTACAGTATCAGAATATTTATTGAATCACAATCTTTTTTTAGATTGGAGGAATCTGATGAGCTATGAAGCTCTTTTTCACAGTTGCTCAGTACTTTTACGGATGTGCAGCAATTGCACCGTTTGTGTGCTTTAACAAAAAAATGTGAATAGCCAAAAACACACGAAAAATGCATAGAGACATCCAAATTTTTTCCTGCCCTCCCACAGAGAATACGACGAGGCCACCGCTACAAAGGGCACTTGGAATGGGTCGATATTAAACATCCAATGCTTTTTACTTTAAGCACCCTATCATTTTGAGGCAGTGGTGACTGGCTGCCCTAACCCTAACCCCTTCACATACACTCA